CCACGGACAAGGGGAGCCCGTAGTGCCACACATGCTGACCCAGCCCCCCCGACAAGCAGCAAGAGGGTGGGCAGGAAGCAGAAGAGGGCAAAACTGCAGCCTCCTGAGCTCTACAAAACAAGACATTGTGAAAGTTACGTGCAAAGTTATGATCGCAGCTTTTGTCAGGAGACTGGAAAACAGCTGAGGGCTGCGTTGCATACCACAGCTGTTACTGCAGGGTGTGGTGGAATTCCTTTTTGTGTGACTAAGACCACCGAGACAACAGTGTGACTGATCTTTTCTACCCACCTTAGTCGACTTGGTAGATTCCGCAGGTTTCTCTGGTGCTGCAGGAGAGGTCGCTTCATCAACGTTGAAGCTTTTCTCAGACTTGGTTATAAGAGGTTCATAATGCTCCTTCATTTCCTCTTCATCATCATGGTCCTCTGACTTTCCCTCTGCTGAATCATCCTCACATTCAGCTTCTGATGAAGATTTACTGTCCTTCAATTCGAGCGGGTTCTTCAGTTGTATTTCCCATGGCGGTTGTTCGTCCATGATCGCCGCCACATCGCTGACCTTGGTTGTGTGAAGTTCGTCTTCAGACTGCTTGGTGTCTCCATAGGCATTGAGAGTGATCCAGCTTTCAACCGCTACGTCACACTTTTCTTTAGTGTGTTCCAAAGGCTTTTGTCCAATGGGGCCCTGGTCTGGCAGCTGAGAATCGGGGGCATCTAGTACGTTATCGGCTCCTTTTTCAAGCGTTTGGCTCTGGTCTTCCTCTGGTAGATGCTGCTCCGAGCCTTGCTGCAGTCTGAGGGCAGGCCTGGGGCTCACAATCATGGAAGAGTATTGCCCAGACTCATAGAGGCTCTTGGGAGTGGTAGTAACGGGACTATGGGCAAATGTGGTGGAAGGTTCCGCTTCAAAGCCGATCTTGGGGGTCTGCACTGACGGTAAAGGGAGCGCTTTTTCGGTTAGCTTGGACTTCAAGGCCTCTGCGCCCCCGCTCCCAGATTTCTCCAGAGGCTGAGCTACGTGGACAGGGAGATCTTTTTTGGGAACATGCAGCTCCGGGGTTGGGAGTGCGCCGCTGGGTCGTTTTTGGAAAGTGGGGATCCGGGGAGACGAGTTTCCCACCTTTTCGGTTCATGTCTTCTCTCTCTTCAAGCTCTCTACTTGCCTTGTCCTCAGCCCCAATACGATCTAGCACGACGCTACAATACTTAAATTCCTGTGGAAGACATTACTAAATTAGAAAAAACATCATGTGTGCAGCTAATTTGAATAACTAACATCTACAGCACCTCTTACACACAAGTGAAATGACTTTAAACCCATTTTGACAGCCTAAGTAGCACTAAACACTCGAAACGGCTTTCTAAAAGCTAGCAGTTAAACAGTCATTTGCAAACTCCTTGTTATTGTTCAACAACAATACCATAACACTGTATTACCTGCAGAGGCTCCGAAGCACTGTGGTAGCCACTCCTATTCAAATGAGCTCTCCTGTCCTGTCCTGTCACAGACTGTTTATCATTTCTACATATTTGTTTATGAATGACACATGGGTATCACCATGGCTACAACATATTTGAACTTTACATTCTGATGCACATTCAATTTGCTTTGAGTTTAATTCAATCACTTGTATACACTAATATCCAATGGCAACGTCCTTCCAAAGTAGATTCCAAAGTGTTTGAAATGAGTTTTCTCTTTTGTAAAAACGTTTACTGTTTTTTTTTAAATTGATTTTGTTATTAAATCATAAGTCTTTAGGGAATTAGGGAAATGTACACATATGTGTAGAAAAAACAAGAAAATACAGGTTATTTAGTTCCTAAGAGGAAAATAAGAAGCATTTTAAAAATAACATACTAACTAGGGTTGGGCTATCAATACAAAAGAATCAGAACTTTAACAGGACACATTTCTGTAGCTGCTGCATTCATTTTACAACTTTTGTAGTCCTTACATTAAATAATAATACTAATGCCTTTTAATTATATATTTTTGATTTCAGTCCCTTCCTCTCCAATGTTTGTATGTTGTACTTGTTATTTTCTGGAATGCCACAGAAGACATTTTTACATGTCACGTTGTTAAACCCCAGGTGTAAATGATTAATGGTGGATTCCATTGAGTTCATGCTGGCTCGGTGTCACACGGTCACACTTCAATAGAGCTGAGCCATTGTTAGTGTTATCAGTAACACCTGTGCTTTCCCTACTATGGCAACATGTCTGCAGATAGAGCACAACGACGTATATAGGGTTTGAGGCAAATATCAAAACATGCCAATAGTCATTCTTTATTTCTTTTTTAAATGATCCTTCAGATTAGATTTTGATACGATCACCAAATGGGACATTTTTTTCAACTACTGAAGGGGAATCAATGCAATTTAAACATTGGTTTTAGGTTACCTCAAACACATTTTTGCTTTTATAAGTGTACTGAATAATCTGCCTGCCTGTTCACTGATACAGATATATCTGTAGTGCGTTAATATTGGTTAATATTATATATGTCATTTTAGCTCTTTATGACAACTACTCCTGAAAGTGTCTTTATAAAAATATACACTTAAAGCCTGACTGTTTTAATGACAGGCCGTGATTGTAAGAAATGGCATATTTGTTGGCATACAAGCAAAAATCTGGGTTTCTACACATTTTGGCAAATGGACATACATTAATATTATATGACTTTCTCATTACTTTAGGTACATTTTTTATGATTAGTCAATCTGTGAAGTTATGATACATATAGTGGTAGGTATAAATAAGTGTTTTTAAAAAATCTAATTTAAAACAGCTAGCAGTCAGACATTGACAATGTAACCAATTTATACTTAAAGGAAAATATCGTGACGTACATATACTGTATTGTATTCCTGTTCAAATGTAAATAATAAAATGGCTGCTAAAGTGTAATTGTTTTTAGGTGTCATTCCAAACTAGAAATAACTCATTTCAAACTGAAATAAATTCAAATTTCAGGGATTCTTTAAATGTAAATGTATACAAACATTAAGACAATAAACCCCAAAATAATGAACTGTACAAAATCATCTAGTCCATGTTTATCCATTGAGTATTTATTTCTTTGCCTTCTTTGTATTGTTTTGAAGGCTGACTTTGTATGTAGACGTTTTATCTACAGTTTATTGGGGCTTGATATATATTTACCTTTTTGTTCACATATTAGTCATGTCTATATGGGTTCCCCTGTTAATATGCAAATAGCAAGCACGTAGGCTAAATATATAAATGAGCTTTGCTGCTGTACTACTGACGGCTAAATGAGATTAGGACACTTCCCCACTAGCCTGCCAATATATCCTGTTGAGGATTACATGCAGCTGCGCACACTAGCTTTTCCGGCCTTTAGAAAACATCTAACAGCGAGAGGTGCGTTTGTTTGGGGGTTTTTGTGAGGTGAATTATACACTACCGTTAGATGGGCTTCCTCAGCAGTTTCCTCCTCCAGCTCTGCAGGGGGACTTTGAAGTGTCTCCTCCATCCTTATGATCTGGACAGACTCAGAGTCTGACTCAGAGCCTGACTCCTGATGGGACAAGAAGACACATTATATTCACAGTAAACAAAGAGGAAGCAATGTTATAAAGCATATACACAATGGACAGAGGTGGAAGACGTTTTCATATCTTGTACTTTAGTAAAAGTAGAAGTACCAGAGTGTAGGAATACTCTGTTAAATGTAAAAGTCCTGCATTCAAAATGTTACTCAAGTAAAAGTTCAAAAGTATCAGCATCAAAATATACTTAAAGTACCAAAAGTAAAAGTACTCATTAAGCAGATTGGCCCATTTTCTCATAATATTATTTATATGTTTTGATTATAATGATTGATCATGAAAGTGTTCTCAAAGCTGGTAAAGGAGCAGCTAGTTTGAATGACTTTGTATACTGCAGGGTAGCTGGTGGATTTACTCCAGGTGGAACCAATTATATTTAATGCCTGATTTAAGTGTTGGTTATATATTTCACATCATTAACCCAAATCTGCAAAGTAACTTAAGTAAATGATTAACCTTAGAATTGTAGTGGGATAGAAGTACAAAGTATTATAATAATTATATTACTAGTATCTTCATGTACTTAAGTAGTGTACTTGAAAAGTAAAGTTACTTTACAGCACATACAATGGAAAATGTAAAGAAATATTAAGCTGTTGTTTATCAATATTCAAGAGTAAGAAAGTAATATAAATTAAAGACCAACATTTCGTCATTTTCTTTAAATAAAACCACCGTCATCAGCATAGAGGAAACAACTTACCATGATGCAGTGATTTAAAGCAGGGCGCAGTGGTTCACACTCACGGTGCAGTTATTAGCTCCCTACAGTATTGCTAACCGGCTAAGCAAACATTACATACGTCAAAGTGTTAGAAGCAGTAAATGTACGTCACTTTAAGGTAGTCTTCTGTCTATATTCTCCTTCCTGTACTGTTTCTCTCGGGTTAGCTAACGCTGCCGTTGACGTTATCGAGGAGCTACGTGGCTGAAGTGTTCAGCAGTAGCAGTAGCAGCAGCGGAGGAGGAAGAGGAGGAAGAGGAGGCGGAAAAGCTGAGTAATACAAAATACCCACCTCGTACGTAGTGCTCCCGTGCGGGCGGGCCGACCTTCTCGGAGTTACCGGGTCTGTGTCCTGGAACTCTGTGTCCTGGGGCTCTTCCTCACTCTCCTCTCCCTCACTCTCCTCTACCTCACCCACCTCTCCCTCACTCACCTCTACCTCTACCTCACTCACTTTAGCGGGAGCGAGGGATTTCCGTGTCCGCAGCACCATTGGCATCTTTGTTGACACGGGATTAACGGTAATGCGTCTGTTGAGAGCCCACTTTAGTAAATATAGAGGTATTGTAAATAAAAGTTGCATGGGACACCTTACAGTGCTAAATAAACATATTTATCAGACACTTATAGTCACTCTTACCGTTTAATTAGATATGAATGCCCCGTGCGATCAGTAAACAACGACTTAAAGAAACCGCGATTTCCTGTGACTGCTGATTGGCGGTTGGGGGTTGGATTCAAAATACTGGCTCCACCCATCTGACGTCACGCAGAGCACACAACACGGAAGCGAAGGATTACCGTCGCCCGCTGCTGACCCTGCTCCCGTCAAAAAGGTCTGTTGTTTTTGTTAAATGAGTACTGACAGCCTATACATATGGTGTGTTTGTTTGGGATAAAGCAAAGAATAGTTGAGCGACGGTATGAAATAGTTGACATTCATTCTGACGTTAGTTAAGTTAGTTTCAGTTAGCTTAGCCGCTGTTGTCTAGCAGCCCAGGCGGAGCAGCAGGAGCGGTTATTTATTTTATTAAGAGATTTTTTCTCTGGGTAACTGAGTCTCAAAGGTCACTGAAAACTACACAGGGGACATGACAATCTGTACATTATCAGGACATCCAATAGTGCCACAAATATGACATAACTAGAGTTTGAAATGTTGATAAATATGTCGAACATTAGAGAGAATCTGTGGGCTTTCTGTATCTGACATGTTAAATGAATGTTGATATAAAAGTGTATATATTCCTGTCCTGTAAGAGGTGGGATCAACAGCCACCATAATGTGACTGTTGTATTGTTATTTAAAAGGAATCGGATCACTGTTTAAATCAATGTACTGTAAAGGCTGACACGGCTGGAACAAATATGTATCATGGGATTGTTGTTACAAGTGTTGTGAACACTTCTAGTGTACTAAATAAGTATGATATTGAAAGTTACCCATACTACGATTTATATCAATATTGAAAATCAATCAACAGAGCACTGCTTTCTTTTCATAATGTGCTACACCCCTGCCCAATCCATGCATCAAATAAGACTGTAATAAGGTTAACTTCACCTTAATTAAATGGCAATGTTGAAATAAATCACAATATTAGATATACATAATTGTATGACTATAGCACATTTTTGGAAATTCAAAGTAGTAACAGTTAACACACATTAAAAGATCAAATAGCAAGGGAAAACAACGGTCTTGTTTATGTTTGTATATCAATTTAGTTATGAATCGGTTATTTTTCGTGAGAATCATAAAGAAATACAGTGTAAAGGAAAAACAATAATCACAATCATGTGAAATTATTCTCAAAAACTAAAACATTGCCCTCAAAATAATATGGCGTCATGTTGTATATCGTCCAATCATAGTGTTATCAAGTTCTCGTTGTCCCTCCGTCTGGCGCTCAGTGTTCTGCTCTTGCTGACCTCTGGGGATCTTCTTCCAGGTCTCCCATGTGCACCGATGTGTCTGACAGGGGAAGGTTTGCCACTTGTTCTGTGACGATGATGAACACTTAGTTAGTCCTATCAGTACTCCAATGGAAGCTCCAGTCACAGCTCCGCCCCCCCCTAACTCCTCCACCCAGCCCGCGCCCATCCCCCTGCGCCCGGCAGTGGCCCCGTCGGTGCAGCTGGGCTTCACCATCCTCTATACCTCTCTGTACGCCGGACTCTTCCTGGTGGTGTACGCCCAGCTGTGGCGCCTCTACCTGTACAGACACAAGAGATGGAGCTACCAGAGCGTCTTCCTGTTCCTCTGCCTGCTGTGGGCGGCCCTCCGCACCACCCTCTTCTCCTTCTACTTCTGTAACGCTCTGGAGGCCAACCACCTGCCTGCGGCCGCGTACTGGCTGCTCTACTGCTCCCCCGTCTGCCTGCAGTTCTTCACCCTCAGCCTCATCAACCTGTACTTCACTCAGGTAAGAAAAGCTACGATGCACCAGGGAAACGCTGATGGACTGGAATCTATAGAAAATAGTTGTAAAGCATTTTTAAAAGTACTGCTTTTTTGCAGCAATCGAGAAAATTAAAGGTATTCACTTTATTGTGAAAGAAATATATATGTTTGTTTTTTTAAACTAGAATTGTTGTGATTAATAGATCCCAAAACATTTGTTCAAACACCAAATATGTCCCCGATTCTGTTTTGTAATTGTGTTAGCTCTTATTTAACGTCATTGTGAATGAATTTTCCCTGTGGACTAATAGTTAGACCAAACTCTCTTAGCTCACAGAAATGTATAATACAATTGTAAAAATCATGGTCTGACACAACCATTACATTTTAAGTTACATTTTTTTTAAATGTTTATGATGAGTAAATAGGTGAAAGCAAAAGAGTTTCAAAGTCTAACATACTAACATCATTCATTTCTCTTACAGTATTGTGTGGGCCTTTTTCGGGGCGGGGTCAACATTATTTAAGCGGTGACACATGTAGATTTTCAAAATCACGGATGTTGACTCACGTTCTTTGGGGCTATACATTTGTTTTTATTCCTGAGTGTGAAGGATTCGACTATAGGTATTTTGCTGACGGCGCCACTTCCTGTTTTATAAGAGTTTTTTACGTGTCCTAATCTCTCAAAACGGAGAGAAAACTGTACATAAACGATGTATGGCAGGTGGCATTGTAACAAATAGTTAACGTCGATTATTTTTGTTTACATACTGTTGCTTTTTTCTCTCTTGTACCACAGGTGTTACTCAAAGTGAGAGAGACGTACAGCTCAGACGTGGACAGAGGAATGTAAGTTTCCCCCTGCATTAGAAAGTCAAAAGCCCTTTTCCTTTGGAATACTAAAGAAGTACTAATCTGTTCCCTGTCTTCCTCAGATGGCTGGCGCGCTGCATGTACGGTGCGATGAGCGCTCTCTTCTTCTGCGTGAACGTGGTCTGTGCGGCTCTCAGGGACGGGGGGGATGGAGGGTCTGGGGAGCGGACCTGGAATCTGGTCCTGGTTCGAGTCCTGGTCAACGACTCGCTCTTCATCCTGGACGCGGTGCTGCTGGCCGCTCTGCTGATGCTGCTGGCCCGCCACTCACACTCCACCAACCCCTACCTGATCAGCAAGGTGTGCTAACGGCATGCTTTGGAAAAGATACCGGATCCAAAGATTTCTGTTTTTAGAAAATGCTAGAATACATTTAAGTTAAAGGGGCACTCCACTTGTTTTCATTGGTACAGGCAAATACACTATTGTGCACAATATTGGAGAACTGATAACAACAAAATAGGTTCTCAAAATAAAAATAAGGGATGAGAAAAACAATGCAATGAGAGGAAAATTAAATATCTAAATTAGTTCATAATTCAATAAATAATATACAAAAATAATTTAACAAATCTTAAAGAAAAATGAAAAAGAAATCAGTAGGATGCTGCTTTTAAACACATTTGTACCAGTATAAATACATTTATGAATTGTGTATTAAAACAATAAAAAATAAATCATTTTTATTAATTAAAAAAATGTATAACACAGTACAATTGTAATCACTGGATGCCGTTTTTAAACATAATTATACTTTTTATGTTGAAATCAAAATTCCACATTAAGTACCAGAAATAGGGTCCTACCTGGTGTGTTTCTCCCCCCCAGGGCACCACGGTGTGTCGTACAGCTGCACTGGGAGCAGCGGTGATCTTATTGTTCTCCAGTCGAGCCTGCTACAACCTGACGGTGCTCATCCTGTCTCAGAGCCAGCGGGTGGAGTCCTTCAACTTCGACTGGTACAACGTCTCCGACCAGGTGAGCGTCTAAACATTAGAGGCAGAGCCAGTACACAGTAATGTTTCTCAATGCTTTAAGAATGGCCTGCAAACACTGCTCGATAACTGTGTGTGTGTGTGTGTGTGTGTGTGTGTGTGTGTGTGTGTGTGTGTGGTGTGTGTGGTGTGTGTGTGTGTGTGTGTGTGTGTGTGTGTGTGTGTGTGTGTGTGTGTGTGTGTGTGTGTGTGTGTGTGTGTGTGTGTGTGTGTGTGTGTGTGTGTGTGTGTGTGTGTGTGTGTGTGTGTGTGTGTGTGTGTGTGTGTGTGTGTGTGTGTGTGTGTAGGCTGACCTGCGCAGTGAGCTGGGCGACGCAGGCTACCTGGCCTTCGGTGCCATCCTCTTCATCTGGGAGCTGCTCCCCACCGGCCTCCTCATCCTCATCCTCAGAGTGCGCCGGCCCGCTCAAGAGGTAGAGAGCACCTCGGACAGAAACTGAACTTTATGTCAACTAAGTAAAGACATTTCCGTGCTGAAGCGTTGTAAATGCTCTCAATATGTGTTTTTCTTCTGTTTTCACAGAGCAGCAGCATGGCCGTCAACAACAGGGTCTTACCTCGACCGTATTTCTTTGACGACCCTCAAGGTAGCGATGAGGATGCTCCGATGCCGTGGGCACGCGCCTCCCACCCACAGAGGTCAATATACAGAGAGTTATACCTACCTATATATCTACTTTTGATATGTACGTTATGAATTAAATGTATGCCTACCATTCAGAATTGAAATCCTTTAGAGTTTGAGTTATCTTTTCCTATCTAAATGCTAGGGTGATTTTATTTTTTCCAGTCATGTGTATGTCAGTGATCAACATGTTTTGATGCTGCTGCTTTTTATTCTTCTGTGCTGCAAACCAGGAAAAGACCAAGCATCAGAGGGCAAACATGAGAAAATAGTAGTAACTACATTTCTGAATCCAGGGCTAACTAAGACACCAGAGACCACTTTGGATATTGTTACTGCGCAAAGGAAAAGTGTATGTGTATATGTGGGTATACATATGTGAGTATATGGGTACAAGTATTACTGTTACTATTCTTTATTCCCTTATCTATAAATGTTCTTTTAATATTATCTTCTACATTACTTTACTTTTACCTATACATGTATCTATTTTATTTAGTTAGTTATTTAATTTACTAGCTAGGACCGGGAGGGGGGGAAAGGGGAAAAATAAATAAAAATATTGACTGTATAAATGTAAACTCATTGTGCCTGACTCAATACAAAAAATATTTAAAAAAAGAAAGCTAAGGGGGAAGCTAGGTTTATTTTTCAGAAACAAATCCTGTTTCTCGCTTGAGGCCAGGAAAAGGCTCTGTGACCTTTTTACCTGTGCTGGACTATGGTGATCTGATCTATATGAATGCACCTGCCCATTACCTGCACAAGTAAGATGCTGCCTATCACAGTGCACTGAGATTTGTTACTAACTGTACAGCACTTACACATTACTGTACCCTGTATACCAAGGCAGGTTTGCCATCACGTACTGTACGGAGGCTCAGTCACTGGTACATGTTCATATATAAAGCCATGTTGGGTAAACTCCCATCTTACATCTGCTCTCTGATCACACAGAGAGTTGCAAGCAGCTATTCTCTGAGATTACATGATGTAAAAAAGCTTTTATGTGCGCAGCTCCTCTTGCTTGGAACAGTCTTCAAAAAGATTTGAAACTGAGCAAATTGGTTCCACTGCCTGTTTTTAAAGCTTGGATAGATGCAATGATACTTGATACTGTTGGTACTTGTCAATGTCTCTAGGTATGTATATGCAACCCTGTAAATACGATGTCCTTTATTGTTTTCTGTTGTTTTCTGTTGATGTTGTAACCTACCTGCTGCCATGTTGGGCAGGTCTCCCTTGAAAAAGAGATCGATGATCTCAATGGGACCACCTGGTTAAATACAGGTTTGAAGGAAAAAGGGCTATAGATGGAAAGCCTGACAGAATACAATGCAGGAATTTGTGCTGTGATGGACATGGGATAACAAATGGTGGTTTCAGTGAGTTTCAATCATGGTTGTATAAAGATAACTGGATACAGCGTTGGGGGCAGGGCACCGTTCACTCGCAGGAAAAATGCTCAGAGGCTCATTAAGGCAAAAACGGAGCGACTGTAGATTAAGAAAGTACACGGATTGGCAGACACTTGGGCCAATACAGTATGCACAATGGAGTTTTCCTTTAAGCCCCGCCTCCTATCTCCCTCTCTCGGCTCAGTCAGATGAATGGAGAGAGGAAAAAACTCTGGATTCGGCTTTTAGCGATTTTTTAACTTTTAGAACATATTGATTTCAATAAGGGCTATAAACGTGTTCGTACTGGGTGGTCGATTTAGCTAAAGAGAATGATATGCAGATTTACAGAGATCTCCTTCCCAATGTAAGTCAATGGGGAAAAGTGTTGTGATGAATTGACACAGAAGTTGTTGTACCATCAGTTGGCCGCTATGAAAATTAGCTTCAACGGCCCGCACACTTCCTGGGAGCTTGGTTTCAACGAGGACATTTCTGTCGTTGAGAATCCCTACTTCTATCTCACACTTGTAAAACAAAAGTTGTATTATACGAGCTCAGGTTGAGTTTCCAAAATATGAGAAGGACCCCTCAAATCATGCCCGAGCTAATAGATGTGTAATCAGTTTGTGCGTTTATGTGACTTGTGTTTCTTCTCACTGTTCCAGCTGGTACGGATCAGAGAGCGCTCCTCTCCTGTTCGCCAGCAAACCTCCAGACCAGAGCCACCAGCACCATTCCTTCTACTCCACCCCCCAGAACTGACCCCCACCTCCAGAATCTACCCAGACTCCTCTCCACCATCCGGGTCAGCGTGTCCTCCAGCACAGGCCACACACAGCCAGCAGCCCCCCCCCCCCCCCCGTGAACTCCTCTTGCACTGAGATCCTCAGGAACTCATCCGACAAACAGAGAAAAAGCACCTTGTAGATTTTTAACAGAGAATATATTGACATTCTTTCTCGGCTCAAAGGGAACAAACTGGGTGGGAGACGCCATGACCGACAGATATTGTGCTCAGTAAACGTGTGGTTTACAATGGGTTCGCTTATAGATGATACGTTCTTGTTCGATTGTTTTTGTAACTAGCTCTTACAATCCCGAAAAATTGCACATTTAGCTTCTATAGCATTCCTTAAAATGAATGCACATAAAGTAGTTTATAAGCTTGGTGACAACCACTGGAAATAATTATAAATGTCTTTTGACAATGTTTCATTATGATTCCACATCAGCAGGTTGACTTGTTATGTACATTTAGCAATTATTTTTTAATTTTTTAAGTTAATATCCTTCCCTGTATGATTGTATATTAGTTTGAAAGTTTAAGTTATTTTATATCTGCACTTCAATCAAATGTTATTTTACTTCATGTTTACTGGAAAGAGGCTTCCTCATAGCGAGTCACTGTCATGTGATTACCGCATGATTGATATTTGACTGTGTAAACAACAGACCAATAAAGAAACTTTAAAGAGTTTGTTCAGCCTTTTGTTAAGCACAAAACATACATGGAGAAAAGTACTGGTTACATTTTTTACCTTATTTAATACATTCAAAAATGTGTCGTGCAATTTGTTTTTGAAGTTGTATCCATTGCCGAACTTTAAAATAAAATGTCTACGGTGTAAAGACAAAAATAAAATGAAGTTCGGCAGTGGATAAAATTACAAAAACAATCAGGCATGTCTTGACAAACTATATTTTGAAATAAATAACTCTTTATGTACAGTTCTATAATTTCTGCATAATTTCCTAATCATTTCCCCTAAAAGAAGGATTTCATTTGGTAATAAATAAACAGGGAAATAATTTGCTTGTTACACAAAAGCCAGCTGAAAATAAAACATCATTTAACTATTTATTCTTCAATGAATACTGAATCAAATGTAGTTTGGTTTTCAGAGAGCTTTTCTTCTAAGGACATTTTTATCTCCCCTTCTTGGGACTTCCTGGGAAATGACTCTTGACAGATTTGTAAGCATGGAAGCCGTACTTTAAGGGATAGTTCAGATGTTCTGAGGCGGGCGGGGTTGTATGAGGTACTTCATATTCATGTATATCCTACAGCAGATGATGGTCGGCTCGACATGCCCCAAGTTTGGAGAAACAGAACTAACAGCAGGAAGCTGAGCAAAGTACTGCTCTAGATGGTGGCAGCAAAAAAACACATTTTAACCACCTAAATAGAGGACCATCTAAAAAATCCATTAAAGGTGGGGTAGGTAATTTTGGAGAAACCAGTTTGAGTGCACAAGAATTTGAAAATACAAAGCCGGAAAAAATCTGCCACTTCCTTACAGAGCCCCTCCTCCAACACACACGAACGCGCACATGACCAATGAGGGCACGATGGAAGGCTGACAGGCAGGTAGGCCATCCAGTTATTTTAGCCGGGCCGGCTAAAATGATTGGTCGTGCTTTTTACAGTACTACGGCTTCCACAGATGACATTTTGTTATGGATTTTTTGTCAAAGCATTTAATGTATTCATTGCTATCGGGATGTTAAGAGCATTCCATGGAATATAACAAGTGTTTCTGAAGTGAATTACCTACCCCACCTTTAAGTGTTTGCTTTATTTAGATTATCGCTTTACTTTGTTGTAAGACAACCCTTTCAGATGCAAAGCTAAAGTCGTTATCTGTGCTCTCTTCAAACCCACCAGACTCCATTAACAGACATTTTCCTGGTATCATGTGACCTCGTAAAACACAGGAGTTGCTTATCTACCTCTTGTTTGCACATGTGAGACTTTGGTATTTAAAAGGTTAGTTCATATTTACCAAAATCACACACTAGCGGGAACTAACTCAGTAGAGGCGACAGTAGACCAGCAACTCCAGTGTCCTGTGAGATAAAATGATGTCTCCGTGCTTTAAAGGGGAAAAATGCAAAATGCACTTTTGTACGTCTTTTATACATGAATATGTGTCCCCGGTGTTCCAGGGAACTCACCAAGTGTCAGAAAACACAACCGTCTCTATTTTCCTCCATATCCAAATCTAAAAAAAAGGGGCTGCAACGGATCTGATAAAAACTGATCCAGATTTGAACACTGTCCTGACGTCAGGACGGTGGTGCTACGGCTATTGGGCCAACTCTCCACCTATCAGGGGAATGAGAGGTTGGGCCACGGCCGGCGCGCTGGAGACGCTGTAGTACATATGCCAGGCCTGTAATGGCGCGTTTCCACTGCAGCGGGTAGCTCGCTTTAAGCGTGCCGAGCCGTGCGGGGCCCGTTTTTGGTTGCGTTTCCACTTGGCCTAGTTTTGGCCCGGGGCTACTTTCTCACCTTTTTTCTGGCCCGACTAAATCGTGGTTCTAGGGCCAGGAACAACCAGGCTGAGTCGGGCTGAGTATGCTAAACTAGAGAGAGAATCGCTGGCAAGGGGGCTACAACTACAACAAGATGAACATATTTGACCGTGAATTAATTGTAATACACGTTTCAAAATGATGCCGAAGTAACAACATACTGATACCGGTTAGTAAAAACCATGAATTCATGCTTTGACAAGTCTGCAGACAGACGGCAGGCGAAAAACCCTTTTAAAATGCGTGTTTTCTAAATGTAGCTTGGCTAAGCTAACGTTATATATGCTCCGACCGTCCACACTCACAACAACGGCCTATACAGACATAAATAAACCAGCGACTGTATTCGCCATGACACAGGCAGTCTGTGGTTTGTACTTGTTTAACTTTTGTCAAGTTTCTGAACAGATATGAAGAGCTGTGAGCTCTGAGTGCTAAGAGCTAACGGCTGTGTTGTTTTTCTGGGGCTCTCATTGAAGATGACGTCACGGCTCCGCCTACACTGCGTTACTATAGTAACTGCCCCAGTTCCTAAACTGTAATGGAAACGCAGCATTAAAGTGAGCTGGGCCTAATAAGGCCTAACCAAACCGAACGAGGCCTGCAGTGGAAACGCGCCATAAGTGGCGCTGTAGTCTGTCACAAAAGCAGCGAAGAAGACTTGCCGCGCATGGTTTCCATGGTTGCCATTCTGTTTATTCTCCGCTGTGGTTCTTTTTCTCCCTCCCCGAGGCAAGCGTTTGCTCCCGCTGCTGTAATTCAAGCACTGTAATTCTCTCCGGTTAGTCCACCAGCAGATGACAAACATCCACCTCTCCGCCTCTTCCAAGGAACGAGGGGACCGTGCGGCAGAGTTTCAGTTAGACCGTTAACAGTTTAAATCTTCCGGACAACATTTGAAAAGTGCCGGTCAAAGGTATTCTTTGTTATTTATTGAGTTTTAAAACAAATGAATAACGACTCTATATAATAATATAATAAAACACGGAGGACGGAGATCTATTTTTCTCCCCCTCTTCTGACTTGATCAGAGCACGCTCCCCTCTCCTGCAGGGGGGCGTGGTCAGCTGCAGCTCACAGAAGCAAAAACAGGGCTGGAGAACAGCAAATGGAGCGAAATGAGGCATGGCTAAAATGCATGTTCTGTTTGGTATTTTGAAAACAGAAACATATAAATATACCTTATATAGGTATGGCCCTACAATATATCATTTAAATATAGCATGATAGGTGTCCTTTAAATGTGGGGTAGGTAAGTTTGAGAAACCGGCTCGAGATACACTTTGTTATATTCCATGGAATGCTCTTAACATCCGGACAGCAATGAATATCTTAAGTGCTTTGACAAAAAATCTATAAAAAAACCGTCATCTGTGGAAGCCGTAGTACTGTAAAAAGCACGACCAATCATTTTAGCCGGCCCGGCTAAAGTAACTGGATGGCCTATCAGCCTTCCATCTGTGCACATTACAAACATATCTCGTGCCCTCATTGGTCATGTGCGCGTTCGTGTGTGTTGGAGGAGGGGCTCTGTAAGGAAGTGGCAGATTTTTTCCGGCTGTGTATTTTCAAATTCTTGCGCACTCGAGCTGGTTTCCCCGAAATTACCTACCCCACCTTTAATGTTCAAAAAGCTCCTTATTTTCCTCATACTGCAGCACCTCAAGTCTTATTTGGCTTTTCTGAAAGGAAAATTAAAAGAAGCTTTGTACATACGAATGATAAGATTACATTTTACAGCCCAATCTTTAATTCAAAGGCAACATTTAAGCTCAAAGTGCTCACAGTCTACGAGCTTCACTTCAACACATTCCACCTCTGCGGCATCCCTCTGTGAACACACACTCCCACATACGTGCCGCGCCTCTTCAGTCAAACAGTTTATTCTGCATTATGTACAGATCATCCTATTAAAACTCTTTATACAGTATGTACACATTCAAATAAATCAGTATGTTACAGCGACCGCAGCGGCAACAGAAGAGGGATGATGATGTTAAAATGAAAAAAATGAAAAGTGAAGCCAAAGCAGTTTGAACTACTTCCCCTTTGATTTGAATTCACTGGATCTGGATCCAGGTGTAACATGTCGATGAATGGGAATTAAGAAAAAGAAAAATCAAAGTGCAGGCGAGGACCTCACCGACAGTTAAACTACCAAACACAAATCCGAACACCGTCTCTCTCACATTGACCAAATAAAGGTTTGAAATTCCTCTCCCGCCTGATTAAACTCTCAAACATTTGCAGTGTTATTGCAGTGGTCATTCTAGGTTTCCTTAAAAAGGTGGTGCTATTGCTTTTCCGACGCAGAAACACTCCAGAAAGGCGACACCGATCATCGCGTCCTGAGTCCGGGTCGACACAGTTCCAAAACCTGAGCCTGTGGGAGGTCGCGAGGAAGAAAGGACCGCGGCGGCAGCGATGGATCAGAGTTCCTGTCGGTCCACGGCGAAATGTCCGAGTCAGAGCGTGGGGATCAGTTGTCCGGAGGCGGAGAGGAGGACGGCGACGACGTCTCCAGCTTACGGAGTCGGCGGCGCCTCAGCTCTGACGCGTTGGGCTCTGCGTCCTCCTCTCCATCCCCCCCCGCCACTCCATCCTCCGTCTCCTCTTTTGTGTCCATGTCCGAGGCGATGGATGTAGAGTCGGCCGCCTGAGAAGAAGCTGCTTCCACCTGCTCAGCTACAAAAAAAGAGGGGAAAAAAACATATTTAAAGGTCACCTATTATGCAAAATCCACTTTCTCATGTCTTTTCTACATCAACACGTGTCCCCTCTGTGTAAAGAGATTCTGAACGTTTCAGGACAAAAGATTGGCTCACTTTTTGTCGTGATCTATTAAATAAAAACCTGTCTGAAAATCAGCTGATCAGATTTGAGCAACTTTATGATGTCATGTTTTTTTGGCTTGTGTAACCATTAGCCAATAACCAACCAAGGTAACCCCCCCCCCCTTATCACCTGAATCTCCTCCTGGACCACCTGTGTTCTTTTTAACCAAATATCTCTCAGAGGGGAGATATTTGGTGGTCGTTCTGGTTGGTGGGAAAGGTCAGTGTACTTACAGCTGCTGGAGTCCTTCTCCTGGCTGTCTGTGCTGGTGCTGGCTGCGGGGGGTTCAGCGGAAGCAGCGGGGGGTTCAGCGGAAGCAGAGGGGGG